TTTATGCCTCGGTTTTTGAAACTTTATGGGCATAATTATAGCTTATAAAATACACAAAGCCTGAATTCATGAACATTAGAACAAAAATAGGTCTGTTGTTCATAGCAGCCAGCCAGCATCCGGTATTCTGAAAACCTTGGGAAAAAAAAGACTATTCTGAATGGGACCACTGGGTTGTTACCTTTTGCAGAAGGAATATCATGTTTCCTATTTTAAAGTGACGCTAAATGAAGGAGTTACATTTTAACAATGCATCCCAGTACTTTAACTGTTACACAAATAAGATGCATTTTTGTTATCACTCGGCTGTAGATCCTGAAATCATCTCTGAATTGGTGCTGACACTGTCCTTCCTTCTGGAGGGTGGATACTTCTGTTCCCCATGGTCCCTGTGTGTGTTGCAAAGTAGTCACCGCTCCAAGATCACTCCCGGGACTACAATCTCACGTTTAGATTACTGATTTGTATTGAGATTGTAGTCCATCACGGAGTGACTACTTTACAACACACACAGGGACCATGGGGAACAAAAGTAGCCCCCCTCCAGAAGGAAGGACAGTGTCAGCTCCAATTCAGGGATGATTTGAGGATCTACAGCTGAGTGATACACAAAATAAATGTTTAACAGTTAAAGTACTTGAATGCACGAAGATTTAACTCCAGAGTTTAGCGTCCCTTTAAAACTATGCTTGGGATGTCTACAAGGCACATAAGGCCACCCATTGTAGTGGACCAGCACACCTTACGTTTTCTTGTCTATAATCTGGAAATGCTGCTTGTGATGCAGTAGAGGTATCACTGACACAATCACTGCAGGCTCCTTGATGTCTCTCACATACAAAAAGCTTCATTTGTACAAAATCTTAGTGTATGTCGGGGGGGATGGGGAGGGAACATTTTGCACATCTGTGCAGTATATCACATTTCTGCATGTTTCGTCCCTGTAGATACAGAAGAATACCTATAATACAATATAAAGAATGAACTGCGCCAATAAGCAAGCTAACAGCTACAAGGCACTGGAATGTACACCCACTGTGAGTGTGTATACGTGGAAAATGAATAACTAAATGTGCCGAGCTAAGACAATGATCAGATATTAAAAAAAAAATTAAAAAAAATAAAAATTAAAAAACAGTGACTCAAACAAATGTCAGTGAAAAAAAATCAATCAGGTGTAAAGTCTTTAAATCTTCATAAATCCGCGAAAGATATCCAAATATAGCAATAGTGATGAATATTACTTTACACCTGATTGATTTTTTTTCACTGACATTTGTTTGAGTCACTGTTTTTTAATTTTTTTTTTTTTATATCTGATCATTGTCTTAGCTCGGCACATTTAGTTATTCACAGAAGAATACCTGTTAACCTTCCAGAAATGCGCTCAGTTCCGAAGTTCTGTTTTGGGCTGACAACACACTGGAGGGAATTAACTAAAACTGGAGCAGCTGTGCACAGTAACCAATCAGCTTCCCTCCTCAGTTAATCTTTGAAAATGAAAGCTATATGCTGATTGGTTGACATGCACAGTTGCTCCAGATGCTTTATGCTCTTAGTCTTGGTAAATTCACCTTGGTGTATTTTGGTAGACCGAGTGGTGTCAGCCCTGCCCAGTTTTCTTTTGCTAAGCTATTCAGACCCATCTACTCTCCTATCTCCACAGCATTAAGGCTAATAATTCAGTAGTTCCAATGTAAGAACTGGGAGGACTACTTACTCTCCTTGAGATAACACAGGAATTGTACATAAGACACAAACGCTTTTGACTTTTGGACAGATAAAACAAAACGCTTTAAAGGTTATATTCAACAGACCCAAAGGGAGCAAATAGAAGTTCATAAACGTATTTTTACGCTCAAAAATCAAATTCTACCAATGAATCCCTCCTATGTATGATGATTAATAATAACATAGACATGTCAGGTGTAAAATGCTGTGATTGTGAGATACACTTGCAGAACATTCACTTCCTGCTTTGAAAGGGCAAAATGACTTCAGTTTGCCAAAGCAATGCACACTGGGATTGCCTTGTCATCAGCAGACCATGTGCCTGACTTGTCAGCTGGCTGCGGCCACATAGTACCTGCTCGTGGGTCCGGAGTTGGCCCACGGGCCGGTACTTTGAGACCCCTGATCTATAAGTATGTGTTTGTAGATTGTCCATTACCAGGGCTTGAAAAATCCACTCGTCCGCTTGTCTGTGACGAGAGGACGGTGGAGCCCGATTAGCAGCTCTAGAGACGCCCGATCGCTTGTATTAGCAGCTGTCACTGCCGTTGCCGGTCCCGAGATCCGATGCGGCCGGGACCGGTACGGCTTGATCTTCTCTCAGTCCCCAAATGCAGGAAGTGATGTATATTGCATTACTTCCTGCATTCAGTGTCACTCTCCATCTACAGAAGCTTCTCGGGGTCCCTAGGTGACATTAGGGGTCTTGGAGAGGACCTGTCATGTAAATTGGCTGTCACAAAGGGGGCTTCTTAGCTCCCCATATAATAAAAAAGGTGTGTAAAAAAAAAAAAAAAAAAAAAAAGTAATTAAAAAAGAAAAAACATTTTTTTAAGTCCCCGCCCCCCACATACTCACGCAGATATGCGCCGGGTGCGCCTACGTGCGAAAACGACGATTGTGCCACACTTGTTGCATATCGCGATAATTTTGGCAGTAGTTATCTGTGCAATGTTGCTTTCTGCGCTGAATGAACGTCAGTAAAGTCTTGTTCGATTAAGATTCGAAGGTTTATTGGTGACAAATTTGTTCTTTGGATTCACGAGGCGTCATCCGCAAGTCACTGCAGCACCCGCAGAGAAAAGCTGTGCGTAAGTCAGTTGTGAAATGGGAAATCTACATATGCCTGAAAATCATAGATTGTCGCACCCAAAGATCATATGATATTAGCCAAGGATTTGGGTTATATGAGGGAGATTGGGAGCAAGCAGGAGGTATTTATTTACTCATAAGGACGTTTGCTTTAGTAACGTAGAGATGTGCATGTTGATTTATGTGAAATATATAAGTTTTAATTTTAAATGATGAAGTTACTAATCTCTAGTACAGATCACAAACTGCACACAGGACACAGGAGGCCGACGGGACAGCAATAGAGTAAATGGGAAAGCAGAGTTCTTTGTGAGCGTCCCATTTTCCCTCTCCTTATCCTATGAACACATTCATTTGTTTTTCCTTTTATTGCACTGCTATGCCCAGGAATTGAGGTCTGGATTTATGCTGTATTTTGGTTACGTGTGTGGTTCCTGTATAGGCAGAAACTGCCCTGGAATAGTTAAACAAGGATCTGTCTAACCAGCGTGTTTAGTCTTCATACTCCTTCTCCGGGCCTTTGTTCTTCCCAGGGGTTGGTGAACCTAAATTTGTTTTATTTGTAAGTACCAAACGGTTCCAGCTGTGAGGACTCTCCGGCTGAGGGCAAACCTGTTTACTTTAGCCGGCTGCTCACCTCTGGGGGATCTGTTTTTCATTGCTCCCTGTGTCTGATTACACTTGTGATAATCTCCCAGAGCTCCAGGCAGGAAATGGCAGCGGACACATGCTGTACTTTCCATGATTTTCCATAAAGTCTCCTTTGTTCCACTGCGTTCTCAGACTGATTGCATAAAGAGTTCCTTGTGACCGGCTACATGACACAAAATCACTTGCTGGCTTTCATTTGGGGCAGAATGGACCCTGATTAGCGGACGCAGACATTTACATACAAATATTCTCTAGATTATATTTAATACTAAAGTTTGGGGGCTGACAGGCTTTACAGGGGTTTTCTGCCTAGATTGGTCACAGTGTAAAAGGTATAGTTCAGTAAAATTCATTCTAAACTACAGTCTATTAGCAGGCTTTGTGTTAAAGGTAAAGTATAGTGTAGCGTGAGCACAGATGTGTTGTTACCGCAGTGTTTACCTTTTAAGGCTTCATGCACATGCTTGCCAAAATACATGCGTCCAGGTGCATTTGGGGCTAATTTCTAAATGCATCGTTTACATTTTAATGTTTTCTGTAGCTGAATACACATTAGAACAGGGGTGCCCACAACTTTTGTGTTAAGTTCTACTTTTCAAATGACGAGCTACATGAGATCTACCAACGAAAAATAAACCTCCCTCGCTCTCTCTCCTGGCTGTCTCTCCGCTCTCTCCTGGCTGTCTCTCCGCGCTCTCCTGGCTGTCTCTCCGCTCTCTCCTGGCTGTCTCTCCGCGCTCTCCTGGCTGTCTCTCCGCTCTCTCCTGGCTGTCTCTCCGCGCTCTCCTGGCTGTCTCTCCGCTCTCTCCTGGCTGTCTCTCCGCTCTCTCCTGGCTGTGTCTCCGCTCTCTCCTGGCTGTCTCTCCGCTCTCTCGCGGCTGTCATTCTCCACTTTCTCCCCTGGCTCACCTTGCTGTATTTTGCAACAGTCTGTGTAAACTAATATTCTTTGATGTACTACATAGCACTTCAACCACCAGAATCCACCAGAAAGGTGTCAGGGAGCTGGGCTCAGCAGACTCAGGCTAATAGGTAATCATGTGTGCACAGCTATTATACCAAAATGGAATAAAGGGGCCGCTAGTCACACCCTTTGTGATCTACCAGCATCAGCTTTGAGAGCTACTGGTAGATCACGATCTACCTAATGGGCACCCCTGCACTAGATGTTCCGCAGTGCATTCAGTCTAGCTGCGTTTTAGCAGACAAGAAATATGTGCGTCCAGCAACCGGGGGACCATGGGGAACATATGGTGCATCCTAGTTCCTCCCTGGGCAGAAACTAGGATGCAAAACTTTGCAAATCTAAGATGGCTTTTTTGTATAGGTGCAGTGTGTACATAATCAGAGTGGGGATTTTTTCTTTACTTTCCCTCAGCCAAATGGATTTGCGCATATGTAGTGTAAGTAATCTGCAGCATAACTGTAAATCTTACTTTTACTGATATGGTTATTCATTATTTTGCATACCTGCAATAGTTGTATATTTCTTTTGACTTTTCTGTTTGTATTTTTTTTTTTCCTAGACAAACTGTTGTGAAGGGCTCCCTCCCTCACCCGTTCGCTCTGACCTTGTTCAGGGACACAATATTCTGGACGGACTGGACAACACACTCTATCCTGGCTTGTAACAAGTACACGGGAGAGGAGCGCCGTGAAGTGGACACCAATATCTTCTCTCCTATGGACATCCACGTGTTCAGCCAGATGAGACAGCCAAATGGTCAGTACTGTTTAGTAAAGCAGTTTTCTATTTTAAGTGATTATTTGTTTTGCATGCTGAACTTTGCTGTTTGCCTTTGCCAGGGGAAGAAATGCAGGTACATTTACACAGTGGGTACAAAGTCTTCAATAACAACTTGACCGCTTTTAATCATTTTCCTGCCTATTCAGAACTGAAAGTGACGTTTTTAAAGGACAATTTCACATTTTGTAATAAAATGTACTATGGATGCATCAATACCAAGTATTTGGGCGAGTACTTGTACTTGCCCAAATGCTCCTGATGCTTATCCCGATAACTGAACTTCCGGTATCGGAAGCCGGGTGGCGAGTCATTACACACCACCTGGCTTCCTGATTGGCCAAGAAGCCAACTCCATGCTCCCTTGTCACCAGGGAGCATGGAGCCAGTTTCCCGGACGATCAGGAAGCCGGGCGGCGTGTAATGACTCGCTATCCGACTTCCTGGTTGGCCGGGAAAGCTGGCCAATCAGCGAGCCGTGCGGTGAGTCATTACCCACCCCCCTTAGGCTCCGGAAGCCTAAGTACCCTTGACGTCATCACGTCTATACAGGTCTAGTAGACTTGAAGATGCTGTGGGACATACCCCAGCCAGAGCAGAGGGGGGACCAGGTGAGTGGTACTGAGGACCAGGTGAGTATATCTACTGAGTGAGTATATCTACTCCTAGACCTAAACCAGCAGTTAAGCCTTGCAATGCGGGGGTAGCCCCTCTGCAAGGGTTAATTTGTCTAAAAGCTGGAGTTCTTAAATGAGATGTTTTATATGTGAATACCTGCCAGTTTTCAAAAAGGGTGTTTCACCTTTCATAAAGGGAACCTCTATAATTTGCTCTAGCGCAGCTGGTTTAGGCTGGTAGCTTTTTGAAATGCATTGGTTTTCAGAAGCTTTCCAAGGCCAGTACTGCCTATGTGATATCTGCTGTAGGGTAAGAGCAGACTTCGGGCTGGTGAAGTTCTTTTAAGCTGAGATAATGTGACCAAGGGCCTGAGCCTGGGTGAGAAGCCTTGAGCATCACCTATAACCCATCATGTATCCATTCCACTGCTATGCTAACGCTTGAACTTTAGGTCCTTTTATAAACATCTAATCTGCAAGGCTTCCAAACAGGACTACCGTGCCTCTCTGCTGCATATGGGGCAAGTGTAGATGGCTTTCTACGTTGTCTGAAATTGAAAACCATGTTTATAAGTGAAGTCTTAGAACTCGATTAGATTACATTTATGTTTTTTCCGCAGCTACCAATCCGTGTGCTGGTCACAACGGTGGCTGTTCTCACCTGTGTCTGATGTCACCAACGGAGCCTTTCTATCACTGCGCTTGTCCTACAGGTGTGCGCCTCAAGGATGATGGGAAGACCTGCATGCATGGTAAGTAAGATTCGATGTTCCCCTTTTGGTAGGTCTGTGGCGTATTGGCTGTAAGCTCTCATTGTTTCCTGTTTCCATTGTAGCTTTTGAGTAATTGCAGATCAGGTCTGTTACCTTGTGTTGGATGCCCAATGCTAGTCTGTGAGCAGCCAGGTCTTTTTTTTTTTTTTTTAACATATTTCCCCACAGACCACCATGGAGTCTGGTCACTTCAGATTTTTTCCTCCATCGCAAGATGTCACAGTGGTGACATACGATCCATACCAGTCCAATAAGGAGGGGATCCGTACATGGATCCCCTCTTAGATCAGCCGTGTGAAAGAGCTAAGCAAGTTATAACTGCAACATACCTGTTTATAGTTGAAATCCTAGAAAACGGCTAACTACGCAGTGGAAATAGTGATATGGAAGCTGTTAACCTGCTAAAATAGTTGTATTTGTGTCAATCCATTCCTGAGATGTACACAGCTTTGCCAGATTGATGCTCTAACTTTTCTCTACTGGACTAAAAGTGACCCTAAACTCAGGAGCTAAATATTAAAATGCATTCAGGTACCTTCACTATTAACAACAATGTATCTTATTTGTGTATCACTCGGCTGTAGATCCTCAAATCATCTCTGAATTGGTGCTGACACTGTCCTTCCTTCTGGACGGTGGCTACTTTTGTTCCCCATGGTCCCTGTGTGTGTTGTAAAGTAGTCACAGCTCCAAGCTCGCTCCCGTGATGGGCTACAATCTCATGTTTAGTTTACTCATTTGTAGTAAGATTGTAGTCCATCACGGGAGCGAGCTTGGAGCTGTGACTACTTTACAACACACACAGGGACCATGGGGAACAAAAGTAGCCACCGTCCAGAAGGAAGGACAGTGTCAGCACCAATTCAGAGATGATTTGAGGATCTACAGCCGAGTGATACACAAATAAGATACATTGTTGTTAATAATGGTGGTACCTGAATGCATGTTTAAGGTTTAACTCCAGATTTAAGTGTCACTGTAATCTTGACCTATCTCTTCTACCAATTTATAAATGTTTGAAAGTGGTGATGGCAAAGTGCCATGTAAAATGGTGGAAGGTAACACAGGATGTGTCACATTTGTGGGAAGAAGCTGGAAGAGAAGAGATGTCATGCTGCTATTACACAACTGTAAATCACATGAAATTGGCAAAATGGCTCACAAAATCAATTGTAATCAACATTTGTCTCAAATTGGGTGTAAAATTGCTCTGAGCAGGTTTATTACGAGGCAGTGTTTTGACATTTTTGTTGGTTGGGCAGATAGAGCAAGAAGTGCAGCCGCTCCATTACTGAGCATTCAGGGAGGACAATAGGGACTCCTCTAGGCATTGTGAATGGTCTAGCTTTCTTTTGGATTATCTGCCTTACATTGCTGGATACTAAAAGACTTTGTATAGAGATGACCCACATTTACCCCAAAACTCTCTCTCATCCTCTAGACCAGTGGTCCCCAACCCCGGGCCGCCGTACCGGTCCGTGGATCAAATGGTATCGGGCCGCTCAAGGAACATTAAATTATTTCCATTTTATTTACTGTGGTGTATTTCTCTCGGGTTTGTCCGACTTTCCAGGATGAGAGGTTAACCGAGAGCTGAGAGACGTCACCTAAAGCCGCACCAATACCGCGCATGCGCAAAATATCGTGTTATCGGGGCGGCTTTAGGTGACGTCTGGAGCTGAGCGGCTGCAAGCGGCAGTGGCGTTGTAGCTTTGGTAAAGAGAAGGTTTGTACCGCTGTTCACCGGTACTTTCTCATGTTTAACACTGCTTGGTGTACGTGTATATTGTGTTTGCTCAAATTTAACCCACAAATTAGCAAAAATGAGTACGAAACAGACGTCGTTAGAAAGTTTCCTTGGGAAAAAGAAAAGGCCCAGTGAAGAGACAGAAGAAGGGCCTTCAACATCAAAGAAACATGTCACTTTTAACAGACAATACCATGAGTCCTACTTGAAATATGGATTTATCGGAACAGGTGATTCCCACACACCAAAACCGCTCTGCATAGTTTGCGGCGACCAGCTCTCTAATGAGGCAATGAAACCTTCAAAACTGCTGCGCCACTTGAACGCCAATTTTACAGCGGCCCAGCAGGCCGCTGTAAAAGTATCAAACGTTGACCGGTCCGCGGCGATAAAAAGGTTGGGGAGCACTGCTCTAGACCACATGTGTCAAACTCAAGGCCCAAGGGCCGAATCCGGCCCACCAGGCCATTTCCTAGACTTCTACTTTCAGATCTAGGTATTAAGTTATACATTTATATTGTCTTACAGGCCCTTTGAGGGCAACCATAATGTTGATGTGGCCCACGATTTAAATTGAGTTTGACACCCCTGCTCTAGATCATGTCTTAGCATTTTTTTTTTAACCTTGTAGTGAAAACCCGCTCTTAGTCCCTGTGGCATAATCGTCTGTTTGGTGTCAATGTTTTGTTTTGCCTGGAGAAAATAAACGCATGTACAGAGGTGCACAGGGAAGGGGGGCATAGGCTACTAGGCTGTGTAGGCTTGGTTGACATCGCCGGTTGGAGTTTTGGGCAGTGCCGTCAGCCTATAACAGGACGTTAGGAGCTCATTGGGAGCTTTCTGTTTTTGCAGCATTTTCAAAGAAACAAAACACGGGGCATTGGGCATGTATTTGCCTAGACATACGCCTCCAGTTTTAGGCGGGCCTGTCACTGCCAGGACACAGTATGCATTTGTTTCTTTGATGAGGAATACGTCATGATAAAGCCGCATATCTGTGGAAGGGTTAACACTGATACCACCCGGGTGATGTGTGTAAGTGGGGGAACCTGACAGCGTAGTAGTTCCACAGCCCTGCGCTGTCAGATAACAATCACTTCCCAGCTGTTCATGGCTGCCTCTTGTCTGGCTCCTCTCACGCAACTGCAGCTGCCTCAGGTATTAGTCAGCAGGACAGAAAAGTCCAGGTATTTACAGGGCAACCCTCCACGGCGGCGATACTACCCTCTGACTACCACCTGTATGTCTCCAAATGTCTTCCACTCTTCCAGAAATGTGTGTCACCTCCCAGAGACCCTCTGGGCTGTCCTCCATGAGCTCTCCCTCCTTTGTCTGCCACTGGAATGTTGGACCTGCCCCTAGATCAACATTGAGGAATTCTTCTACCAGGGCTCCATGTTTGTGTAAAGGGGGGTTGGGGTGCAGAAACACAGTCGTTCCCAGAGACTTTGCAGAGGAGGAAGCTGTTGTCATCAGACTAAACAGTTTCTAGCCCTGGATCTGGTTCCTTTTGGACTTAAGTCGTGGTGATCAGGGCCGAAGGATTTATATAAACACTGCGTGTTATCCTTGAGGGGGGGAAAAAAAGGCGAGCGCAAGTTTCATTTATTATTTTCATTACTGCTGCTTTCTTTAAAATCCTTCTGCACGCACAGACTATTGTGAATGTGCTCCATGATGTAGAGCAAGTTCCTTGTAGTATGATCACACATAAGGTTTCGGAGTAAGGATCTAAGAAAGCAAAGGGGGAGTTGATCAAATCTGGAATAGTTGCCCACGGCAACTAATCATCTTCTTTCCTTAGTTTGTTCAGTTAAACTTTGAAAATGAAAGAGGGAAGCTGCTGATTGGTTGCCATGGACAACGGCGCCTGGTTCTGTCTGCTCCAGAATTTGCATTTTTATGCCCTGTACAATTTGTATATTTAAGTTAAACCGGATAATTTATTTTTTTCTTGCCACAAACCAGCAAAGTGGTAATTGGGAACTATTTGCTCCCCCTAATGACTGCTCGGCACTTATGTTTTAGCCACAATTATTCCACCTGGTGACCTCAGATTTGGAATTAGTTGGCTGATTTTTTTAATTTTTTCGATCAATCGGATAAAAAAAACCTGCACTGGACTGGAATGCACATCATTGCAGATACCGCACATTTTGGTTCGGGTGATCACTCTGCTGGCGAATGGCACCTCCCGCATGAGAATTTGTCAGGCCAAAACCGAAAATTTCCTTTTTTTTTTTTTTTAAATTGGGGGAGGACACCTTTTTATTAACTTTTTTTAATTAAAAAAAACCAAACTGGGGGACCCAGACCAACTAATCGATAATGAATGATTAAGTTACCAGCTTAAATATATTTATCATCGGTAGCCTCGCTTACGAGGCAGTTGACCCCTCTAGAGGAAATTTGTTTGAATGGTAAAGAGGGCTTCCGTATTCTCCTCACGATTTAATAATAATCTCATACCCCACGTGTACCCCACCCACCCCTACTTTGTAAGGGAGAGGGAAAGGGAATAAGGGTACCAAGTTGGTGCAGCCGATTGGGGTAAGGCCTTTTTATGAGTGTTTAAAGCTAGTGTGGATGCACGAACCCAAGAACGAAGCTATAAGATCTGAACGTAGTGCAAAATATTCTGTATCGGCATCAGAGATGTGCTGGCGATGCGCGGTAGAAAGGGGACCATGATACATGTATGGTGGTGGGCCTGTGGCAGGCTGAGGTATCACTGGCATTCTATTTTTGAGATATGTAACTGAGTTACAGGAGGTAACGTTCCTGAAACACCCGAGGTTGCCTTACTTTCAATTCCGCCATCAATACGAGTAGTGAAGAGGCGGGTTCTCATATTTCTTTAAGCTGCCGCCCCCAGCACCCATTCTTAGATTATGGACAACATCTTAAAGATTGGATAACAGAAGGAAATTATCATATGTGCATGGAAGACTTTCAGCTAAGATCAATGAGGCCACCCGGGTTTTTGAAATATGGGTTCCCTGGAAGGAATTTTTAGCTTCACCCATGTGGATATCTTGTAAAAGATTAAATTAAGATTAGGTACCTAATAGGGTTCCCCACTTTTTACATTTTGTAATCTTAGTTTAGATCGTGTGGGGAAAAAAAAAGGGTTTGTTTTGTTTGGGTTTTTTTTTTGTTCTTCTCATTCTTTCTTCCAATGTGGACAAGGTATGTGGAAGCTCCTGAATTGGGGGTGATGGGATTTATTAGAGCTCTCCTCACATCCGCCCCCACCTTTTTGTGTAATATTGGTGTATGTGGGATTGGGCTCTGGAACCACGAGGGGGTTGTTATGACTTGGATGGATTTTATTGAGAGATTTTGAAAAGGAGTGATATGAAGCATTATACAGTTTGTAACAACTTATCTATTGTATACAGTTTTCATGTTAAGGATTGTATGGTTGGTTGGTTTGAATAAATAAAACTTAATTACTCAACTAATCAATATTCAGAATCCTTGACAACAATTCTCTGTCAATTTATTATCGAATAATCAATTAGTTGGTTTCATCCCTATGGCGGGCGGAAGGTATCATAATTTTAAACCTGGAACAGTGGCTTTTTATAATGACTGTCGCCTTTCTTCTCTTAGTATATGATTTGGAACACTGCAGTCATTGCTCATTTATAACCCTTCTGTATGAGCCAAGTTAAAAGGTTAACCAAAAAAGAAAAAAATATTGAATTATTCTTCAGGCCCTTTCATGTTTGTACTTTGTAAATTGTTACAGTGAATCTTGTCAATAATAGTGGTCCCTTTTTCTATCTCTCTCTAAGCCTACCTCTAACTCTAGATTCTTTATCTTCTAGCAAAAATAATTGTTCGGCCAGCTTACCCTTCAATGCTGATGTTTTTAAACCACTTTTGGTTCGCCCTTCCTTGTTCCTCTTTGTATTTGTCTCAACAGCTGGAAAATTGAGTATTAGAAAAATGTGTGCCTGAGGGGAAACCTTTTGATTTTTGTAAATGTCAACATAGTAGCAGAGATTAAGATATTTGTAGTTTCTGTGGCATAAAGAATTGTGTATATATACATTAGGAGTAGAAGACACTAAGGCCCCTCACACAGGCTGATCAGGAGGGGATCTGTGCATGGATCCCTTCCTCATCCGAGCGGAACGGATCAGATGTTACGCTGTGACATCCATGTCTGTCCAGTGTTTTTCTCCATCTTGTGATGGAGGGAAAAAAAACCTGAAATGACCAGATCCAGTCTTTGGGGAATAGCATATAAATGGGCATGTGTCTGTTTACCTCAGGCTGAAAATGAAACACTGTTCCGTCGGGGGTAACCGGGTGTAACGGCCCATAGACTAGCATTGGGCATCCAATTGGAATGCCAGTGTGAAAGGGATCTTAAACATTAGGTGTCAGCTATATTTTTGGAATTATACCAAACTACCTAATAATATAGTTTAAAACGCTACCGGTTTTCGGTTTCGAGCAAGAGTACCGATATTTATCTTTCGGTACTCGCCGATACCGACTACTGATACCGCTACTTTCGCGAGCATGGAGCCGGCTTCCTGACCAATCAGGAAGCTGGGGGGCATGTCATTACCCACCGCCCCAGCTTCTTGATAACTCGCCCAAATACTGGTATCTGCACCAATACTAGTATCGGTGCATCCCTATATGCTACAAAAGCACAGAAGCCTCTATTAATGGCTGGGACAACCACAAAATAATTGTGCAGTAAGCAGAAGTGTGAAAAGTCTTTATATAGTACCATCGTGCTCTCGCCATCAATCTAAAAATAAAGTTGTGTACTCGCTTATGTGTATAAAAAAGGAAACCCATTTAATAAAATCTCAAATAAACTGAATTAAAAAGTAATTTTTAATCATTTTTAAATATTCAGCTTTGAATAAAATACCTGGTGATCCTACCATGAAGGTCCTCATTAAGGCACTTCCTGACCATCACAATTCCGCTCCTGTGTTGTCATTTACTTCCAGTAGAGATTACACGGCCATGTCGGCACTCATTTGGCAGGCTTGTTCTGCCATTGTTTATTTTAGAAAGCCTGTCCTGCCCACTGACAGACGATCGCCATTGCTTTGAGTACAAGTGGCTGCAGGAGGCCAGCAGCACTGAGATGTGGCAAAGGTTGTGAAAAAGGGGAAATAAAAAACATGGCACTAGGGTATGATACACAGTGCTCAGCAAACTGACTGTCCTCCAGTTAGGGTTCAGGTTGACTTCAACAGTTTCTAAAGTTGTTTATGTTGGGAAATTGTAAAGTACTGTTTTTTTTTGTTTTTTTTTAGGGCCAAATTCTTGTTTTATACATTTTCCCCCATATATCTTTCTTAGTCTTTTAATGCGTTTTGCTGTTTAGGTGCTACGGAGCTGCTGCTTCTTGCCCGGCGGACAGACCTCCGGCGGATATCTCTGGATACTCCTGATTTTACCGACATCGTGCTCCCTCTGGATGACATCCGCCATGCCATTGCAATAGACTATGACCCAGTGGAAGGTTACATATACTGGACGGACGATGAGGTGCAAGCCATTCGGCGGGCTCAGGTTGATGGTTCCTCCAGTCAGTTCATTGTTGTGTCTCAAGTATCTCATCCTGATGGCATCGCTGTGGACTGGGTGGCTCGCAACTTGTACTGGACGGACACGGGAACTGATCGTATCGAGGTGACGCGGTTAAATGGAACTATGCGCAAAATTTTAATATCTGAAGATCTTGATGAACCCAGAGCCATTGTCTTGGATCCAATCAATGGGTGAATGCATTTTTGTTTTTTCCTGAGTATATTACCTGATCCTTCCTAAAAACTGTGTAAGGTAACAACTGTGCTGAAGCACTTCTCATAACGGTTAGTCTACAAGCCCCATTGGTCCTAGCCCTCACCGTGCTCTGCAGTTTGGTGGAGCATTTTTCTTTTAGAACTTCAGCTCCCAAGTAATGTTCAAGGCAACTCCATGGTTTCCGTATGAGAATATCACTGCCTGTTCTTTACCGGTCCTTGTTTAAAAGAGAGATATGGGGTAACCTTTTTATCCCATAGTTCTCTTTAGGTTCACAGAAGCACATATACTAACCTCCTCCCATAACCCAAAGCTCAGTATATAGCGAGCTATTGCCCGTTATATACTGAGAGCGCCGCAGCCGGGAAGGATCCAGATAATACTGTCGAAAATCCACCCAACTGGCTGACAACGGGCTCTGCCTATCTAGAGGTGAGCGACGGTTTGTGTTCTCTCACTTCCAGATCTATAGAGCCAACGTGACAGTTTCAGTGTCGCACGTCTGCTCTGACTATGAGGATGAGTGAAAATCACTCGCCTCATAGTTCTCCCTAAACTGGAGCAGATAGAATCTGGAGCAGCTGTGCACAGTAACCAATCAGCTTCTATCTTTTGTTTCCAAAGCTTAACTGAACAAACCAAAGATTGGAGCTGATTGGTTTGGATGGACAACTGCTGACAATTCTGTCTTCTCCAGTTTTTGATAAAGCAACTGTCACTGGAATAACTAAAAACGCTGTGGGGATTTAAGTCTGGTGGAAGACTGTATCCCACAGTGAGACTCGCACATGGATTCACTCATGCATATATCTTGCCTAGGTCATTGCATTTTATTGGGTCAGCGCCCCATATCATTAGGAAATGTAAAATATTTGTTAAATCAACCTTCTTATATACTTCCTTTTTTTTTTCTTTTCTACAGCTGCATGTATTGGACCGACTGGGGAGAGAACCCAAAAATCGAGCGTGCTGCAATGGATGGCTCTGATAGGGTGATTTTGGTGAACACCTCTCTAGGCTGGCCCAATGGTCTTGCCCTGGACTACACAGAAGGGAAAATATACTGGGGAGATGCCAAGACAGACCAGATCGAGGTGGGTTACTTTTCTGCCATTTATTTTCTTTCATTTTTAGAAAATGGGTCAGTGTTTATAATGAGCGCCCAGACCTTGGTATGCAAACTTGTAAGACTATCAAATTAGATTTGTTTTTGGGAAGTCTACCACATGATACAGAGCAGGGGCCCCTAAGCAGTGGCATGGGAACCACGTGCTGCTGTCAGCCCTCCCAGTACTTCCCAGCAGCCTCTTGGTGTGTGTTCGCTCTGTGGCAGTGCTTGGTACATAGGACTGTGCGCATAGAATAAAGTCGGGCGGGGTTAATGTTTCCATACACCAAAAAGTGATGGTTATTTTTTTTATTATTCTTTAGGTTCTTATTTTTATTATTTTTATTTAATTTTCAATACTTGGTGTTTAAATAAATAAAACATGGGTCCTTAGCGTTTGATCGGTGACTGCTATACTGTCACCACTGTATTTAATATCTAATTCTAAATGTAATAATGGGACCTTTCCTTCTTATAGTTGGCACTCAAGTCCTGTGAGTGGTTGATGAGCTGTATTGGGTTGTAGCTTCTGCGTGAGCCTGCTGCCGCTGCTTCTTATAGATTTATCTGATGATGTGCTATCATCCATCAGTATGAAACCTCTTTCAATGATGGAATGAGTGTCAGGGGCCCCAACGTGACATTGTTACAGCAAAGCTGCTTTTCTCAGGTGCTTGCTGTGACTATTGTGGGCCAGGCTGGGCCCGGGAAAGCTCTAAGTTGCATTAAAAAAAGAACATTTTATCTTTTAG